CTCTGCACCCGCACAGTCAACCAACTGCAGATGGAAAACATCTGGGAAAAAAAAATTCAAGAAAGTTCCAGAAAGCAAAACTTAAATTTGCCACGCACCATCAACTATTTGCAGGGCTTTTATAGCAATAGGGATTATAAGTAATCTAGAGATGATCTGAAGTTCGCAGAAGGAGGTATGTAAATTATATGCAAATATCATGCCATTTTATGTAAGAGACATGCGCATCCTTGGATTTTGGTTTCTGCGGGGGGTCCTGGAACCAGTCTGGAACCAGGTGAGCTTCCCTTCCTTTTCTGACATTTCCCAAAGAGACGGTAGGCTGACTTTCCCCAAGGCCATGCCTTCACCCTTTTCTCTAGCTCCCCCTGCTGCCCTGGCTGCTCGTCTTCCCTGCCTCCAGCTGGGGAAGGAGGAGGATCTGGGGAGTTAGGGCAGAGCTGTAGCTAACGTTTCTCCCACAGCAGAGCAGTTCTAAGGCGTGAGCCAGTCCCAGCAGCGACAAGCAGAAGCTTTGTTAAAAAACAGAGCTACCAAAGGCAGCGACCCAAGGAAGTCTTGGGAGGGCCCCTGGGCAAACTTTAAGCATGCCCCGAATAAAGACATCACTTCTAATAAATCCCTTCTCCTGCTCAAGTTGCGAAAGACTTCTTTTTCTAGTAAGTAAAGAGATTTTTCCTAAATCAGCCTTTTCTCTTGATGACAGAAGGTGGGGGACTGAGATGCAATAAAGCTTGTCTTTTCAAGATTATTCTCTCCTTACGTCATCTGCCTAGGCTCCAAAATTCATCCTGTGACCTACCCTAAATGTATCACTCTAAATCTGGGTTGTACTAAAATCTTTATTAGAGTCAAATACAGCCCCATTTCTAATGAGCTTTATGACTCAACGGTCTGAATCTGCATCAAGCGAAGATCAGGCCAGATGCATTATTTTTGGTGGGGTTCTCTGACTCATGCTTAGCTCTTTCATAAGTGATTAGTCATGCTCATTAAGCATTCAGCATGTTGATTACAGGGCTATTGACTCAAAAATCCCCAGGATTTCATCTTGAAGGGATTGGTAATTCTAATGTCTAGACAAAAGCTACAGAACATGGACAGAGCTGAGACCAATCTGGGATGCAGGAGGCTTGGTTCTTCAAGGCTATCAGAGAAAGAGTCTAAGGCAGATGGAGAAAGTTGAGTTCTAGCTTCATTAGTGGCTCCATAATCACTCACTCATATGATAAAATCTGAAGCACCTACTAAGGGCACAGTGGTGGAAATTCAAACGGGAAAAGTGGGCTGACTGGGGCCACGTTGGGAAGGGCCTTGAAGGCCATGCCAAGTAAGGACTCTGAGTCTGACCCTAGAAAGGTGGACTGACGCGATCAGACTGGGTTTTGGAGATACTCCTCTGGTGGCAGTGGAGGGATGGGGGAAACGGAGTCACAGGAGGCCAGGAAATGCTGAGTATGAGACAATGAAGGCCTGGACAGAGGTAAGTTTGAGAGGTGGGTGGGTGTGGACGGGAAGCCGTGCAGGGGGTGTAGGGGATAGACGGGGAGTCGAGGGTTCTCCAGAGCTTCCAGTTAAGTCTCTGAATGGAAACTGACGCCGCCAATCAGAATGGGGATTCTAGGCTGAAGAGTCACTTTGGAGAGGAGGGGTGGGGTGAGTCCATCATCTGGTTTGGGGGCATGTTGACATGAAGGTGCTTCTGTGAAGTACACTCATGCATCAATTACTGTGCCCCTAAGTGTGTGCCAGGCACTGTGAAATCTCCTTAGACTTGGGAGGCAACTGGACTCAGAAATATGACTGAGGAAAGAGACGGGCCCCGCAACAGAGACTTGGGAGCCACCTGTGGGTAGGTGCTGGCTCTGGTCACGGCCAGGAGGGAGATGTGGCCGAGGCAGTGAGCACACAGGGGTCAGCAGGCTGTGCTCGGGGATCCGAGTCCCCAGGCTGTGGGTGGAGGAAGAGGATTCAGCAAAGAAGGAGTTGTCTGAGGACAAGGAGACCTGGCAGAGAGTGAGACGGAGAACATCACCATTCAGGGATTCTTAAATTTATCATCATCAAAAGGAAAAAAAAACTCCTTGACTTTTTATATTTATTCCCAGGCTGCCTGAGATGCTCGGAATGAGGATAAAAATGTTCCTACTGCTTCATTAAGGAAGCCTTCTACCGGAAAACAAGCAAAGCTCGGTGAGCTAGGGGACAGATAGATGTGTTCCCCGGCTGCCAGTCGAACCAGCTCACCCTAACTTCCATCACAGAACAGCATGAACAAGCCAGAAACCCAGACCCTTCCAGGCCCAGAGCCCCAAGATGTGAAGGAAGCTCAGCTCTGGCTGCTCCCCCGGCTGGTGCTCATGGACAAGCTGTCTCGTCTCCCCAGCCTCAGGCTCCTCCCTGTACATGGAGGATACCAACGCGGTGCCCACAGCTCTCAGAACCCGTGAGCACGTCTGAGTGTGAGTTAAGGATTGCTCATAAAGCGCTCTGAGCTCCTCAGAGGAAAAAGAGACGTCTATACACTATTTTCGTAAGTCTGTTAACAAGTCTCTAGTCTCCATCTTCAAAGCAGCTCTGGGGGGGGGGCGGGGGGGCATCGCATTATCTCTCACCCAACGTCAGAGCCAGCGCAGTATTCCCAGCCAAGAATTTGGTTACCATGGGAACCAAGGAAGGACTCACATGCCCCGGATTCCAGAAATAAGAAAGGAACTGACTAAATGCGTCTGGAAGAGTTGGGTTGGGGGGAGTGGGATGAGGCAGGCTAACAGATGGAGACTTTGGTCCAAGGTCCAAAATAATCATAACATGTTATCTTTCAGGGAGTGTCTGGAACAGGCACGTGGTAAGGAAGAAAAGAAATGGGCTGACTGTGAGCCGGACCATCCAACTTGGCCTAAAACTTTAACACAGATTTGTGGCAAGTCTGCTATGCATGCAGCTCTGCGCTTGGCAAGAGGAGCAGAAGAAGAGCTGATAATTCCACGTCAATAGGGAAGAAGCTTAACGCCATATGTCATTTCATTCAATCAGACTGAACCAGGCTTACTGAGTTGAGCATCACTGCGCAGGAAACACACGCTGGGCAGCACTGAGCCGTGAAGGTGACAGGGAAACCCTTCTACCCCGGCGAGGGCTAACTGCGGTGGTCGGGATGGAACACACATGAGGACTATCAGGGCAGAAGAAAACACTAGAACGGAGGCACAGATGGAATGCTCTGGGGGCGGGGAATCAGGGATGATTGGTTCTGACTTAGAACGCGAAGGGAAGGATGCTACGGAGGATGTTGTATCAAGCAGTTACCTACTGAGCATCTCTTCTTGATGCTGGTGCTGATCACCATGATGAAAATTCCTGCCCGCACGGAGCTTCCAAGGAGCAGAGACTGGGGAGGGGTTGAGAGGAGCCAGGTGAGTGTGAGTGAAGGTCTGGGAGTGGATACTGTACATGTGTGTGTTTGAGGGGGGCTTTGGGAGGTGGAGGTGGGCTGCTCTGGGTCCAGGTGGACCCCCTGGAGCGGGGCTATGTTGTGGAGGGCAGTAAATGTCATAGGGCACTTTAGTAGGCTCCACTGCCTGGTCAAATATTTGGGGACCCAAACTAAAGTCTACCCATTTTAATACTAGCTCGGGCTTGGCCCAAGCTCCACATGTGCCCAGGGCAGACGCAGGCCGAGGCCCACAACCAGAGCAGAACAGCAGGGGGAAGTGGTGGGATCGGTCCTGTGCTTTAGGGCTGGTGGTGATGAAAGGACGACTGAGAAGGGGCAGAGGTGGAAGAATTAGAAACACTCAGGAGGAGGCCATGGCAACGGTTCAGGTAAGAGGTGATGAAGACCACAGCCGTGTGGATGGAGAGGAAGGCACAGCCAGGAGGGGACGAGGACTCGGCCCACATGGATGTGGAAGATGAAGTCAGGATGGCATCTGAACGGGACGGTAGGAAGGCGGGGACCTTTAGGAAGATGGAACACTGGGGATCAGATGTGGGAGGGAATCTGAGTTCCATTCAGGCACGATGATCTGGGAGACACCCCGAGGAGGTTTACGAGCGATGCCTCCTGGGGAGCCTGGGGGAAAAGGCAGCAGCACTAGCTGTGCTGACTTGGGCTCATCCACCCAAAAGTGATGACGGAAGCCCCTTCCAAGTATCAGT